AAGCATGATGACTAAAAAGAAAGTTGTGGAGGAAAGAATTTATTAGGCATACACTTTCACATCACTGTTTATCACTGAAGGAAGACAGGAACTTAAACAGGAAAGGGACCTGGAGTCAGGAGTGATGCAGGGGCCATGGAGGAGTACTGCCTATGGGTTTGCTCTACACAGCTTGTTCAACCTTCTTTCATACAGAACCCAGGACCACTAACCCAGGCATGGCATCAGCCACAAGAAGCCTGGCTCTCCCCTATCAATCACTATTAAGAAAATGCCCTACAGCCAGATATTATGGAAGATTTTTCTCAGTTGAGGTTCTTTCCTTTCAGATAACTCTAGCTTGTGTCAAGTTGACATAACACTAGCTAACACAGTGAGTTACTACATTTAAGGACTATTATTGCACATTTCATGTGATATTCTTGAGGCAGAAATTATGATCTTAAATTGAGGGATCAATGTAACAAAACATTATGCAGAATTTAGCACACTTACTGTTAGCGAGTCAGAAAGCAAACAGATAGTGTGACTACTATATTCATGATTACTATATGTAAAATAATAGCAAGTCAGAACACACACAATGTACTTCCTGATTATGTGTCTGTACAATATTATATATAATATATATATATATATATATATATAAACTTTTTTTTAAAACCTTGGTAATTTGGTAATTTGGAATAATAATATTTTATCATGGTGGGCAGTTCTGTGTCTTACAGGATCCTATTTAGCAGTATCTATGGTCTTTAAGCACTAGATATTGCTTCTATCTTCCAAGTCATGATAATCAAAAAGTGTTTTTAGAAATTGCCCAATATTCCCCAAGGATCATAATCTCTTCCAGTTGGAAAATGTTGTTCTGGATGAAGTAATTGGAAATGATAATAATATATTGGCCACTCTTGGTTGCTTTTAGTTGAGTATTAAAATAAAGAGACAAAGTCAAGGAAAAATAGACCAATTTATAAGCAGAAATGAGAGGAAAGAGAGAGGCTATACAGCTGGAGATTCCACGGCTTCAAAAAGGTGAATTATCCTTAGGCCTCAGAGAGTAAGAGATAAGTTTGAAAAATACTTTGAGCATCAAAGGCTCAGAAAAACTTCTCAGAGAACAAAGAGATTTATCCCTACAAAAGAGATCAGATAAAGAATGTGATCTTTCCACCTCTTATTTCAGATGGCCTAAAGGTATTCATCATTACACTAAAGGAGAGGGGCAGTAAAGCCAAAAGAAAATAAATCAATTTGGCTTGAGAACCATGACTAAGAATAAACTTTGGGAACTCTCACCAGCATAGGAAATGGACTGAAATCAAATAGATAAAAAAATGAAGCATTGTTTTTAATTGAATGGCATTGCCAACATAATGAGGGATTGACAGTGAATAAATTTCTGATTCCCACATCTGTCCAAGCAGAAATCAGGTAAGACCAGCACTGCTCTCCAGAGAGGGCATGCACCTTGACATTCACTTTAGCTGTAAGCTTGGAGAACAAAGGACAGGAGAACATGCAGAGGGAGAAATTAGAGAAAGAACAATGGGCAAGAATGTCCAGAGAGGAATCAGAATCAAATCTATAGGGAATTCTTTGTTAACTTCAATACCAACACTTCATTTTATGCAAAAATATATGCAAATTATGCGCATGTATGCATGTCCAAATGTACACTCGAACACGAAGTTCTCAATCTATTTACTTTGCTTTACTTATTGTGCATATGTGTGCATACCTGTGTGGTGTGAATTGATGTGTGCAGGTGCTCATGTGTGTGCATGCATGCGGAGGGTAGAGGTCAACATCAGGTGACTTTCCTGGATGCTGGCCACCTTGGGATGATTTGTTTGTTTTGACACAGAGTCTCTGACTGCCCCTGCACTCACTGATTAGACTAGGCTGATTGACCTGTAAGTCCCACGGATCTACTGGTTTCCTTAATGCTAGGATTACAAGGCCCTGGTCTCCATTTCTAGCCTTTTAATGTGAGTGCTGGCAATGATTGCTATCTCTCTACAAACTCATATGTCTCCCCAGCCTCTTTTCCAACACATTCTAAATTTAACAACTTGCAAAGAAAGTCACCTTAAATTTGAAGACTGCTAACATGGCAAGGCTGCCTAGCCCTGAACGAGTTTTAAAAGAGGCCAGGTGTGAGCATTTTAGGTACAGTCATGCCAATATCATGTAGTCGGTAAGGTAGTTGATACTGAATTCAAACTAGAGTTCCAAGATGTTACTTGCAAGTGAGGCCTTTGGTGATTGGTGGGTCTGTATACCCCTTCAAAAGGCGAGGGAATAACCTAACATTTCTCTCACTAAATGAGTGGGAGGTAGTAAGTAAGCAGAAGCATACCTTTATTTTTTTGACAAAGGGGATTTATCATCTTCTCTGTGGCACTGAGCTGGTCCTGATAAATGGTGATTAGGTCAGCTACAACACAGAAGCAGACATTACAGAATTTTGTAGGACTTAGGGATGATGTATATATTCCCCAAAGGTGCCAATCATATACCTCAACTACCAAACTGAGTCCGTGGTATTGGTATAAATATATTTTCAGTGGATAAGAAGCCTGGAGTGCTCTGGAACCTGATAGGTGAGAAAGTGAGGCATATGATATGCAAGCCCAAATCTACTAGAAGAGGGTGGGGCTGAAGCATTTCTGTCAACATTTACAGTGCTCATGAAACTGAATTTAGAACACATGGCAATTGACATACTGTGGTTGCCTTTCACATATTTATAAGACATAAAACTGAAATATGAACAAGAAACTAGTGACACAAATAAATAAGAATCTGTAGTACTTTCAGGTTTCTTATAAATTCTTCTCCTTGTTTGAAATATCAAACTGCTATTTTTGTGTTTGTGTGTTTGAGAGTGGTGTGTAGTCTGGCCACTCTACATTTGTCCTTTCACAAACACAGCCTTCTCTGTTCAGTGGCTTAGGAGAGTGACTCCTCATTGCCTTTGACTTTGGAAGGTTTGGATTGTGCAAGATGTAAAGAGAAGATACCAGGGGGGGATAAGAGATTTTTATCTTCTTTTGTCAAACAGGTCTTTTACTGCCCTCTGGCTGAGGGTTGTCCCTCAGTGCAGAAATTCCCCTTTCCACATGGTTATGGGTTCAGTTCCCTGCTGCTGTCCCTGACTTTATCTCTCACATTGGTGTTCCTTCCCCCACCAAGGTCAACAGTCCCTCCTCACAAGCTGAACCAGCAGCGTCTTGTTTCTTACTGCGCCTGTGACTAATATATGTTTTATGTCCTCATTTTACTTCATTAATCATGTTCAACTAAGTTCATATCTATATCATTAATTCATGATCTAGAATTGCTTTATTTCATGAATGTTGATTGTACTCCAATTAATTCCTACTTCTATTCTAACTCTTCTGAATCATTTGTTCCTGAGAATGACTCTTAAATGACACCCAGTGGACTTTAAGAATTTTATCTGGTCTTATTGCTTTTCATCGGCTCATATAGTTTATTTACCTTTACTTAATTTTGCTATCAACCATGCTGTACATGCCACTGTACATGACTTTACCTGAACAGTGCAACTTATGGCTGCAGTTATTTCACAGGTAAAATAATACTGTATTAAAGGAGGAACAAAGCAAAACTTTAAGGGGCTTTTATCTGGAACTGAAGAAATAAGAGAAAATATGCAAACCCTCTAATACCAACATCTCTCATCATATTAAGGGGCTTGGCTTAAGAACTCCAGTGTTCCTTCTGCCTCCAGCAGCAACAAAGCTCCAGGGAAGATTGGCAACAACTTGGGAAGAGAAAGCGCTAGTAACCAAGATGATTCACAGCTGTGTCCTTCCCAACCACTCCATAATCCAATAATATAACAACCCCCAAAAGGACAAGCTAGCACAGTTTGTCCATCTAGCTTCCAAGTGCATAGAGGTGCAAAAGATGTGTGGATGTAACTCAAGTCTCGTTTTGTTGATGGAAGCAACCAATGAATGAAATCAGTGTACAAGGCATATTCAGAAATAATAGAGCAACACTAACAACAACAAAGAAACCAGAAATTTATATGAAAATCTGAAAACAACCAATGAAGGGAAAGAAGATGCCATGAAAAATTAAGAGCAGAAGTACACATTAGGGAGTGGTACCTCAGGAATAGAAGACGATTTTGTGCAACTCCTTTCTGCTCTACTGCACTCTACTACAATGATACGGCAGTAGAAGATACTGGAAAAAGAATTAGGGGATATAAGAAAAATGCAAATAAGCACTCACCAAGAGTAAGAGTGACTTCAGAGACTCATTGTGTGATGGATAATGCTTATTATTTATATGTACTTATGGACTTAACTCTACTAGTATAGTCATGAAAAACCTAGCTGAGTAACTGTACGTTCCACAACAAAAATGTCTTAAAATGTTGGTTTGAACACAGCATAATTTCCGAACATAAACATAACAGATATAGCAGATCCACTGCTTTGCTATGCTCAAATAGTTCTCCAAACACTAGTGGTTTCAAATTATCCTCTCTCTTGCAGGGGAAAGAGATCCTGGTTATTAAATTGAGTTATAGATTTAAATGGAAGGAAATTTCACTTTGATTCGTGTTTTTTTGTGGCCAACATCAAAGTTAAAATATATTTAACATCCTCCACTATGAGTAAAATGGTTGTGTCCACAAGTGACACATGCCACTAAAACTTCCATTTTTGGTTAATGCAAACTGTAGCTAAGTTTTATGAATGAAATTGGAGAATGTAATCTTACCCTATACACAGAAGAGGTAGGTAGGTAAACCAAAATAATACCCTTGTACACAATGCTAATAGCATTGCACTGCTGTGGTGTATCTCCCTATCATCCTACCTCCACATAACTACTAAGGACAATAAGAATGTGGCAAGGGACAAGGACTGGAGTACCCATGAAATGATGAATAAAAGACTGTGAGATGCAGTGCTGATAACAACATTCATTTATTGAAGAAGGGAGATCTAAAGTACAGACAAGATTTTTTTGGTATGCAAACATAAAGAGTGAATTACTGAAGACAACTTGTTTTTATAAAGGGATAGCAGAATCTTCAGAGGTTAAGGGCTTTGTTTAGCGTCCCAATAACAACCTGAAGAGATTTAAAAAATTTTTATGACATTTGGTTAAAAAAATTAAAAGATACAGGAAGATGAAGACATGGCTACAGTCAGTCTATCATGGGTTCCCTTCTTAGATTCAGAGAGTGTGCCACTGTCTACAGAGATTTGAGGGGAAATGGCATAGAGACACTTCTCTCCCATGAGACTATGCAATGTACTCAGACATGATGGACACTAGAGGCATTCTGAAGATACAAAGTGTCAAAAAATGTGTTGGTCCTGAATTCCTCTGAAAGCCTTTAAATGAATAAAAGAACTGGCAAATAGAAGGAGAGCCATGAAATGCTAACTTCTGGACACGACATGGCTGCTTCATGTATCAAGTCATTGCAGGTACAGTAACCTGTGCAAGATCAAGTTCAAAATTCTAGTGTGAATGGTGGATGGGATCCCAAGGTCTACCACTGGTAGAAGAGCTACTAGTAGTTTATAGTTGATAAGGGAGAAATGGGTCACTCCCACCTGAGATCTTGGTTGTTGACCATGATCCAATGTATGATCTCACTCCCATGTGCTTAGGGGCAGTACTAATTGGAATCCAGTGGTTTTAATGATCATTAGCAAAAGAGGGCAAATGAAAAAAGGAAAAAAAAAGAAGAGATATAGCATGAGGCACTATGAAGAGTTGGGGGATAATGGTGGATGACTGTGATAAAAGCACATTAAATAAATGAATGGAAACTTCAAATAATGCATTGCAAATATTGTTTTAAAAAGTGTAATTCTAAAGCCAGATGTGGTTCTCTCGTCCCAGCTACTTGGGAGGCTGCTTCAGGAAGACCTAGAGACTGAGACCTGTCACAGATATGGAATGAAAATTTGTCTTAAAACAACCCAATTCATTCTAAATAACTCAGCAGTGAGTTAATATTTTAAAAAGAAAAACAGATATGTAATATAATGAAAGGACTGGAGAATCTTTTGACTCATAATTGCATCATATTAGAGTAATGATTGACACATAATAAGATAGTCTAGAAATAGATGTCAAAGATGTTGCAAAAGTGGTGAGGAAGTTGATACTATGAATGTGCCCAGCTCTTCATATTTATTTAGAGATAACCAATAGCTGTTGTCCTGTTAGGAAGTAAATATCTAGGCACATGGTCTTTTAGCTAGTTAGATGCTACCAGGGTTAGAGGATGTTTGTGCCAGACTGTCCCTCATACATAACCAGCAACTTACAAGCCCAAATGTCACCAGTAGAATTCTAATTACTGGTCTGAGAAGTGGCTGAGGATCTCTGCATTTGTTCCTATCTGCTACAGGAAGAAACTTGTTGGGTGATTTCTGAAAGAGGCACTGATCTATGAGCATAGAAGAATGCCATTAGGGGTCATTTTATTGCTGCTTTTCCTTCTTCTTAGAACAATAGAATTTGGTTTTCACTGGGTCCATCTAGTCTCAGGGTCTTGGTCACCCAGTCAGTATCGACTATGGGTTCTATCTTGTGGAGGGAGCCTTAAGTCAAATCAAATATTAACTGGTTACTTCCCACAAATTTGGTATCATTGTTGCACTAGCATACCTTGCAAGCAGGACACCATTGCCAATCAGAGGGGTTGTGGCTTGGTTGGTGTTTATATTTCTCTTTTGGTATCATGCAAAGAGCCTTTCTTGTACTAAAGATGTTAGAATGTAGGAGTAAAGGCTCTACATAGACACTACATCAACTTCTCAGTGTTCAATGATTTGTGTAGGTATTGTCTTCAGCAGTAGGGTCTTGTCAGTATGTTTTTTAAGTAACCAGTAGTCTTGGAAACAGGCTGGGTTGTTTGGGGATTCCAATGTGACCAGTTTTGCCAACTCAATTAGAAGTAAGCCAGTCCTGGATTACCAGTTGGAGTTCTGTCCCACTCCCCAGTATTTGGTGATTTCATTTAGATCACCTTCATGTATGTATGTATTTTAGGAAGCTCCTACTGGAAATTGCTTCTTCTTCCCTTTTTTATTGGTTCTCTGAGGCAGTATTTTACAGTGTTGTATAGCCATGGCTGTCTTGGGTTTCACTCTGCAGATCAAGCTTGTCTCAAACTCATGAAGATTCCCTTGCCTCTGCCCTAAATGTGATGTCGTCATCAAATCCCTCATATCAGGGCTCAGGGAACCCTGTGAAATAGGAGGTAGAAAGAGCGTAAGAGCCAGAGGAGATGGAGGACACCAAGAAAACAAGAAAGCAAAGCTCACATGAATCCACACAGACAACTTGCAGAGGGCCTACACAGGTCTGCACCAGGTCTTTGCATATATATTATGACATCCAGTTTAGTGTTTTTACAGGATTATTTCACTGCCATGAAAAACCCATCAATAATCTACAAACACAGTTTAAATACAATATTCAGTAAAATATTAGTGATTTCATTCAAGTTCAAGATACATTAACAAGCATGGCTTATTTAGCAAATAAAATACTTGATTACAATAATCAAGAGAAAACTGAAAAATAAGAAGGTTTAAAAAATGCAAACCAAGAAATTACAAAAGGGAACATGAGATACCAGAAGATAAAATGCCTCAATAAAGCCTTTTAAAATTGAATCAATGGCTCAGTGGACCTGGGTTTAGTTCCTGGCACCATCCACGGGCAGCTAGTAACTCCTTATAAGTTTAGTTCTACTGGATTCTATGCCTTCCTCTGATATCCATAGACACTGCACTTACCTACCAACCCACCTACATCCACCATATATGTGTAATAAAAGTAAAATAATTTAGAATTGAATATCAGTCACACTGTGACAAAGGAAATAAGTTGGAAAATCATATTCATATGCAATATAGATAAAAACAGCCACAGACTGTCCTAGGTGTTTACTTTGGTATCATGACTTACCAAGGAGTATAGCTTTTCAAACTTGTATTCCTCAGATGGGACCAAGAAGAATTCTTCTTCTGAAAGCAACAAATTAACATACATTAAGACTGTGAAATTCCAGGTTAGTGTTCAGTAAGTCTATGCTCTCTCCTTTTGCTATGCAATAGACTACAGTACTGTGTTTTGATTTGCTTTCTTACCTTTAGTTGTATTTGGTTCCATTCTAGGTCTCTGGATATCCTACCTCTGGGTCCTAGCCCTCAGGGATAAGCTCCTTCTCAGGGTGGGCGTCTCCTGTTTGGCCAGTCATTAGTTGGTCACTCTCACAATTTCAGCACCATCTTTTCCCCAGTACATCTTTTAAGCAGGACAAATTGTAGGTCGAAGGTTTTGTGTTCCAGTCCCTCTACTAGAAATCTCGTCTGGTTATAGGAGATGGCCAGTTTAGATTCTGTATCCTCTGCTGCTAGGAGTCTTGACCAGAGTCACCCTCATAGATTCCTGGGAGTTCCCATTGCTCTAGGTTTCTAGCTCATCCTAGATATGTCCACAGATTCCAGGAAAAATAAAAATAAAACAATGAAATGATTCCTAATGATATTCTGCTATACTCGTAGATTAGTGCCTAGCCCAACTGTCATCAGAGAGGAATCACCCAACAACTGGTGGAAACAGATGCAGATATCCACAGTCAAACATTAGAAATCCTGCAGAAGACACAGAGGACAGATTGTAGGAGCTAGTAGGGTCAAGAACACCACAAGAAAACCCAGGGAACCAACTAAACTGTGTTTACAGTGATTCACAGAAACTGCATGGGACAACCTAGGCCCTCTGCATATAGGTTGCAGTTGTGTAACTTGGCCTTCTTGTGAGACTCCTAACAGTGAGCAGGGACTGTCTCTGACTCTATTGCCTGCTTTGGGGACCTTTTCCTCCTATCAGATTGCCTCATCCAGCCTTAATAGGCACCCAGTCTCACTGCACCTTATTATACCATGGAGGTACCTGGTCACTGCAACTTAATATACCGTGGCTGGCTGATATCCATGGAAATCCTGCCTTTATCTGAAAAGAATCAGAGGAGGAGTGGTTGGTGGCCAGCTGGAGAGAAGAACTGGGAGGGGAAACTTCGACTGGTATGTGAAAACAAAAACAAAAAAAAATTTTTTTTAAACAGGACATTAACATCTTTCTCTCATTTATAGCAGAAACTCAAAATGGCTTAATGGTGAAGTCCACTATCAAAGAAAGGGGTCTGTCTTCTCTTTGATGAACTGCTCTTTATGAAAGGCCTGGTTTCCTTATTACATGAAGAACAAGAACATGAAGAATCTGGAGTATAGTTAATGAGTGTGAATGTCAAGGCGTGGTTTAAACCCAGATGAGAGGAGGAAAAGCAGCAGGGGATGCAAATGGGCACCACATTCTTGATATGATGTGGTTAGAGGTAAATAGGTGTTCTGGGAAACTTTTATGGTGTGTGTGCGTGCATGTGTGTGTGTGTGTGTGTGTGTGTGTGTGTCTGTGTCTGTGTCTGTGTCTGTGTCTGTGTCTGTGTCTATGTGTGCCTGTGTGTGTATTTGTGCATGCATGTGTGTTCACATGTATACATGTGTTCACGAGAATGTGTTTAACAACAGTGAGAGGTATCCAGCAATGTTTCTAGATATGAAGAAGAACTGTAAGAGTAGGTCTTTGAAAACTGCATAATATGAAGAAAATGGCTCTCTATATTAAAGGTACTATCTCCCAGCTCCTAGCCTATCACTCTAATGAGAGACAATGGTTTGAAATCCTCAGGAGAAAGCATTTTTACATTCAAATTCAGAAGTTTCCAATAGAATGACCATCTGAACTAGGTCAACCCCTCTAGAAGTCTCTCCCACATGTAATATGACTGTTCTTTAAGTTTGAAGTACTACAGAGGTGGAGCAATGCATGTCAAGCAATAGGTAAAAAGCAATTTATGATACTAGGTTTTTAGGAAAGTTTTAAGACTAAGTATTGCCTTTTATGAGACCAGAAAAACCGGATATAGGATAGAGCTGTTCAAATAGCAATGCTATCATCTCAAAAATTCAATTTTCTAATTTTGGATCTTAGATGCCTCTCCACTTTATCTGTTCAATGCTGTCCTTCCATCTAGTATCTGGAACATGTCTTGTCTAAAGTACAACCTACAGAAAGAATGTTCCATAAGCCCACCAGAATAAGAATAAGAGGTCAAAAGCTATGCGATTGCTCTACAAAACTCAGCTTCCCCATGTAATGAAAGCTTACATATCAAATTTTTGTAAGCTAACTGACCTATCTACAACGAAGAAACTATAAGGAATGTATTGAAAGTTACTTTCCCTTGGGCAGTCATTTCCCATCATAGCCACACATTTGAAGCCTATGAACCATGGGTGATTCTGTTCAGCACCAACTCTCCCACTTGGCCATTTGACTTTAAACATCATGAAGTGACTTCTCATATGATATATATCATATTCTGATTTCAATTACACTGATGTCAGTCCCCTCTGCCAATTCTTTCAGAATGCTTTGTCTTTTTTCCTCCATTTTTATTTAAATTAGAAACAAGATTGTTTTACATGTCAATCCCAGTTCCCTCTCCCTCCACTTCTCCCCTGCCCAGCCAACTAAGAACCTACCTATCCCATACCCTTTCTGCTCCCCAGGGATGGTGAAGCCTTCCATAGTGGGTCTTCAGAGTCTGTCATATCTTTGGGATAGGGCCTAGGCCCTCCCCCATGTGTCTAGGCTGAGGGAATATCCCTCTATATGAAATGGGCTCCCTAAGTCTATTCCTATGCTAGGGATAAGTACTGATCTACTACAAGAGGCCCCATAGATTTCTGAGGCCTCCAAACTGACACCCACATTCATGGGGTATGTCTTTTTTTCTTTGCCTGCTGTTCCGAATACTGTATTTGAGAAATAATGAGTGTTTATTGAATGAGTATTGAATAAATAAATTAGTGTTTAATTGATGTATATTTTCTATCTATTGATTCCTGTTTAGAAAACAAAAGTAGAAATTTACATCTGTGGTGTTAACTGAGCATCTACTTAGGATCATTTAACCAATGACTATCTATGTACAATTTAATACTTTTAGTATATTTATATACTTGTGAGACCTTCACTAACCCCACATCCAACATAGGATTGATCTCCAAAATTTACAAAGAACTCAAGAATCTAGTCTCCAAAACACCAAATAATCCAATTAAAAAGTGGGGTACAGAACTAAATAGACAATTCTCAATAGAGGAATCTAAAATGGCTGAAAGACATGTAAGAAAGTGCTCAACATTCTTAGTCATCAGGGAAATGCAAATCAAAACAACTCTGAGATGCCGTCTTACACCTGTCAGAATGGCTAAAACCAATAAAACCAATGACAGTTTATGCTGGAATGGATGTGGAGAAAGGGAAACACTCCTCCACTGCTGGTGGGAGTGCCAACTTGAACAGCCACGTTGGAAATCAGTATGGCAATTCCTCAGGAAAATGGGAATCAGTCTACTACAAGAGCCAGCAATTCCACTCTTAGACATATACCCAAAAGAAGCACATTCATACAACAAGGACATCTGTTCAACGATGTTCATCCCAGGATTATTTGTAATAGCCAGAACCTTGAAACAACCTAGATGCCCCTCAACTGAACAATGGATAGAGAAAATGTGGTACATTTACACAATGGAGTACTACTCAGCCGACAAAACAGAAAAACAATGGAATCTTGAAATTTGCAGGAAAATGGATGGAACTAGAAGAAACCATTCTGACAAAGGTAACCCAGTCACAAAAAGACAAACATGGTATGTACTCATTCATATGTGGATTTTAGACATAGAGTAAAGGATTAGCAGCCTACAATTCACACTGCTGGAGAAGCTAGTAAACAAGGAGGACCCTAAGAGAGACATATATGGTCCCCTGGAGAAGGGGAAATGGACAAGTTCTCCTGAGCAAATTGGGAGCATGGGGGAGGGGAGAGAGAACTAGGAGAATGAGAAAGGGAGAAGAGGAGGGTTGAGAAGGACATGATGGGGCAGGGAGATTGATTTGGGGGAAGAACAGAAGAGAGCGAGATAAGAGATACTATAATAGACATTATAGGTTTAAAGAGAAATAGGGCATTAGGGAAATGTCTGTGGAGCTACAAAGATGACACCAACTAACAATCTAAGCAACAGAGGACAGGCTACCTTTAAATGCCCTCCTCTGATAATGAGATTGATGGCTGATTTATATGCCATCCTATAGCCTTCATCCAGTAACTGGTGGAAGTAGAAGCAGACATCCACAGCTAAAACTTGAACTAAACTGAAATCTACTTGCAGAGAAGGAGGACTGATGAGCAAAGGGGTCCAGACCAGGCTGGGTGAAAACCACAGAAAGAGCTGACCTGAACACGGGATAGCAATTGGTACCCAGACTGATAGCTGGAAAACCAGCATGGGACTGATACAGACCCCCTGAATGTGGGTGTCAGTGAGGAGACCTCAGAAAACTATGGGGTCCCTTGCTGTAGATCCGTACTCATCCCTAGCAAAGGAATGGACTTTGGGAACCCATCGCACATGGAGGGATACTCCCTGAGCCTAGACACAAGGGGGTGGGCCTAGGCCCCATCCCAAAGGATAAGACAGACTCTGAAGACCCTCTATGGAAGGCCTCACCCTCCCTAGGGAGTAGAAAGGGGATGGGATAGGTAGGGTGTTAGTTGGCGGGGCAGGGGAGGATGCAAAGCCCTCTCCTTTCCAAAAGCCATTTCCTCCTTTCTTTCTTTTACCCTGATCAACCACAAATCTATTTTCTGTATCTGTAGATTTGCCTCTTTTGGACATTTTCATGTAAACAAATAACATAAGCATGCCATCATTTTTAAATGAACAACTTTTTCTTGCCATGTTGTTCTTTGGATTCATCCATGTATTATGGTTCTATTAATTTTTATCCACTGTGTGTATATACCACAGTTTTTTATTAATGCATCAGCAAATAAACTTTGTGTTGTGTCCATCTTGTGGATTATAAATAACAAACCATGGATAAG